TTTATGCTATTTTTAAGAGTTCTACTTAAAACATACGAACACAGAAAGGTGGAAAGTAAAGAATAGAAAATGATTCTAGGCCAATATTAACCTCCCAAAAGTTGGTATAATTTTTTAAATAATCAGACAAACTAGACTTTCCTGGGGGAAAAAGAAGTTCATTTTTAGGGATAAAGAAGATCACAATATAATAGGGGGAAATAGCAGAGGCTGTATCAGGAAGATGTAACAATGCTGACCTAAAGTTCAGCTAATGAGATGGCCTTCAAATAAAGCCCACATTGACAGATTTCCAGGAGAAACCGCTGAGTCCATGATCATGGTACGAAATGTTAAGAGTTCTCAATAGCTCTTAGATTGAGCTGGCAAAACAGGGTTCTATAAAACATTATTAAGCTCAAACTAAGGATACGCATAGAACCCTACACTCCAGAGTACATGCGTATTTATAAAAATTGACCACAGTCTAGCAAAATATACCAAATACCATAGTCTAAATCAGTATGTTTAGCCTCAAAATCAATTTAATTGATTACAAAAAACCTTTTCAAATGCTTTAATGGTGTAGAGAATACTGGTGCATCTGTGTACTAGTATTATTTCATGAAAGCTCATTATTTATATGTTGTATGTCACAATATACACACACATATACAAATGCTAATGTGTATGTTTCTGCATCCTGGGTCATGGAAAAAATTGTTATTATGTCTGGATCCTGGTTAAAAGTCTGAAAACTTTGTCCCATATCACACAGAACAGAGTCTGTGATGACAGCACAGTTGAATGAGGAACTGTCAGTGATAATTCAAAACTCCCCAGTGTTAGGGGAGTTAAGGACATGGCCACCTCACGAGTCTGTGAAAATAGTGTGTGTGTGCTACAGCTTGTAAGATGAAGCCACAGCAGTACTTAGAGGGAAATTTATTGCCTTAAGTATTTGCTGCAAGAAAAAAGAAAGGCCTGGAAATTAATAAATGTCTATGTCAGGAAGTTAGAAAGAACAGAATAAACCAGTAGAAATAAGAAGAAGAAATAATGAAAATTAGTCGGGCATACTGGATCACAAACCCAAAAGCTGGTTCTAGAATCATCATTGAAATTGAATTAACAATTTATAACAGCCAAGACCCGGAAACAACCTAAGTCCATACACAGATGAGTAGATGAAGAAGTGCCACACACACACTTGCACACATACTCGTGTGTGCCTGTTCACCATGGAATATTATTCAGCTGTAAAAAGGGAAACCTTGCCATTTGTGACAACATGGAGGACCTTGCAGGCCTTATGCGAAGGGAAACAAGGCAGAGGAAGACAAATTCATATGATCTCACTTACATGTGAAATCTTAAAAAAAAAAAAAACACCCAAAACCAGTTTCCTAGAAAAAGAGATGACATGTGGTTACCGTGGGCAGGGGGAGGGGGAATTGCAGCAAGAGGGTCAGAAGGTACAGACACCCACTTACGACATAAGTCCATGCCAGGGACGTACCAGACAGCATGATGACTAAGCTAACATCGCTGTGTGTGGCGTGTCTGAACGTCGTTAAGAGAGTAGAAGCTCTCCTCACAAGGAGAAAAGAACGTTTTTCCTTTTTTTTCTGTCTTGTTTTTGTCTCTATATGAGATGATGAGTATTAACTGAACTTAGTGTGGGAATCATTTCTTCTCCCTATATATGTCAAGGCATTGTGCTATACACCTTAAACTTAAACTGTCCTGTATCTTATCTCAATAAAACTGAGTGGAAAAATGAAATTAAATTAGCACTTAAAATTCAGCTTCCTCCCTCTTCCCCCCACCACCAAGAACAGAGCTGGGAATACAGATCTTTACAGTTTTACAAGCAGATTCCACCAAACCTACAAAGAACAGGGTGAAGGGGACCATCCTTAGCTCATTTTATGAGCTGCAGGTGACCTTGCTACCAAGATCACATAAGAACTGGGTCATAAGAATGACACCTGATTTCTCTCACTTATGAGCTCACATGCAAATATCACATTAAAAAAAAAAAAAGTGGGGCGCCTGGGTGGCTCAGTGGGTTAAGCCGCTGCCTTCGGCTCAGGTCATGATCTCAGGGTCCTGGGATCGAGCCCCGCATCGGGCTCTCTGCTCAGCAGGGAGCCTGCTTCCTCCTCTCTCTGCCTGCCTCTCTGCCTGCTTGTGATCTCTCTGTCAAATAAATAAATAAAATCTTTAAAAAAAAAAAAGAACAAATCTAGTGATACATTAAAAAAGAAAAGGCCCAACATCAAGAAGCGTTTATACCATACGAACCATCTGTGAGTTAACATTAGAACATATATTATTGTGATTCAACCCATTTCAGATTAGAGAAAATGTCAAGTGGTAAAGAAAAAGCATTTGCTAACATTCAGTACCCAATTGTTAAAGAAGAAGAAAAGGGAACTAGGAATTCAAGATAGCTTAACCTCATGAAATGTTTCTACCAAAAAACCTATGGTCAGCACGGCATCTGATAGAAGTGGAGACCCAGAGGTGAGCCCAGTCAGCCCCCCTCCAACCCCAATCAACACCACTTCAGAGTCCTGTGACACGAGAGCTGGGGTGGTAGAAAATGGATGGTCACAGTATTTTTCACAATATTTGAAAACCGTCGGAGATGGAGGGGGTGGCGCCTGCATGGCTCAGTCGGTTAAGCATCTGACTCTTGATTCTGGCTCAAGTCATGGTCTCAGGGTCGTGAGATGGAGCCCCGCGTCTGACTCTGGGTGTGGGTGCTTAAGATTCTCTACCCGCTCCCCCGTCCCTTCCCCTCTTCTTATTCTCTCCTCTGCAAAAAAACCTTAGGAGATGGTAGTCCTGATGGGGCTGTATCTGCTAGGGTCTCTGATTTATTGTCACTTTGTTTTAGTTTTGTATCTTCCTATCTGGTCACCTTGTGCCTAGAAAGTGCATCTGGAGACTAGCTCTCTTGGACACCCGCCCAGCACACCCCTGCCTCACGAGTCTCCCTTCCCCTGGCCCACAGCAGAGGAGCTGCCCAGTGATGAGACCTGGCCCTGGGGGTGCTTTAAAGGGTCTCTTCACAAAACCTACTCAAATCCCAATTGCCAAATTGGCCTGAAGTGGCCAATTTGGACCAGCTAGGTAGGCCACACGAGTTAGCAGATGTGTGTCATGTCTAAAGAACTGAGGGCTTCCACTCACGTTTGCTCCCTAAATCCTTACTCCCTAGGAACGGAAGAAAACCCATTCTCTCAGGACCCTCAAGGTGGTCAGTGAGTTTCCGCCAGCTGAGCCTGGGAGTGCTCCCCAAGCCTTTGGGTGGCCTCTCGCTTCCTTCCCTCCTGGAACCTTGACGTTTCTGCTCTACACTCTTAAGTGTACTAGCAATAGTAAGTACGAGCACCTAGTTCATAGACCTCTCCCAGAGAACGTAGGTTCTCTGTGGTCAGCCCATACAAGATATGTGGATGGTCACATAACTGGCCCCGTTCTTTGCCAGTTGGGCCTGGCCCTGTGGGAAACCCAGAAAGACATTCCTGCTGGGGGTCCTTTTGTGACAGCATGAATTTCAGAAGCAAAGCCCCCAGAATGCTGGTGTCAAGAGCACACTTGGGAGGCAACCCTGGTGTTCTTGCCCCTGTGAGTCTGGGATCTCTCCGTGATGTTCCTGCCCCACCCAAGCCAACTGCAGAGCAACAAGATGGCTGCCTCTCCCTTGGCACTCCTTGCTGTATGTGGGGATATGGCCTTCACTGTAAATGTTTCGGGGTACTACTTATCAAGACTAGGGCTTTTCATTTTTCCTGTGAAAGATTTCTTTTGACAAAATTCTAACTCAGGAATTAGTGGTGGGGAATAGGGTTTCTTTTTCGAGCAGCCCATTCTGCCAAACTTGGAAGACATATCGGGCTGCCATCAAACATACATTTGTGTGTGCAGCAGAGGAAGAAATATTCTCCCCAGCTTAGCTTTTGTGGAGTCTGTGCTCCCAACAGAGGATATATTTTTGTATCCCATATTGGCCTAACTTGAGTAAGATTCAAGGCGATTTTTTTCAGCCCTGGCTCTTCTGCCTCCACCACAAGGCTGCCCCGATCCTACAGTGCTCAGCAGGAAACAGACCTTGCTTTGTAAGAGCCTGGTGACTGCGTCAGCACCGTGACCCTCCTGCAGCTCCCTGGGAGCCGGCTCGTGGAGGGTACAGTTGCTGAGAAGCTGCTTGGGGCTCGTGGCGTGACTCAGACCCCTGGCATCGCACTGCCTCAGAAGAAGGGGAGTGTGTCAGAGGACTTTTGTCATCAGAATAGACTCATACAGTTATTATAATGTGGTGTTTGTACCTGAATGTGTCTGTGTTGGCAAAGTTTGGAGAGGTCCTCGTGAGGACCCAGAGTTCTAGTGGACGGATGTCCACCAAGACTGTAGAACGTTCAACACCTTCTTGTCCCTGCCCTTCCATCCACTGGATTCCCTCCAGGGCCAAGTAGGGTACAGTGTCCTTTCCCATACCTCGTTTGTGAGTGTGTTCCTAGAAAGGCTAATTTGGGACACCCTCTCCTGAGGGCACCTGGCTGTGGCTCCCACTGTCAGAACCCACAGCCAGAGGTCAGAATCCACTTGCCCAGGATTTGAAGGCTCCATGAATCCACGTTACACTTCACTTGTGAAGGTTATGGCTGTGATAAAGAGGTTCCCCGGTCCTGCAAACCCAGGGTGATAGTCAGGGGGAAGCAAATGTTTTAGCCAAAGCTAGTGGGGGTTACGGCATGGGGGGGGCGTGGGCCATGGAGTTTTTGTTACGAGTCCCTTTAACCCTGTTCTAGCAAGGGACTTATTTAGAAAGTGAAATTGTGTGTGTGTTCTGTGATGAGAACGATTCTTCTTTGAACTTAATGCTGAGACATGTAAAACAATCTCTTCTCAGTCCCTTCTTTAAAATGCCCTACTGTCAGAATTTGGATTTTGTGATTTTTTTTTTTTTTTTTTGAAATTCCCACTCTCTTGCCATCCCCAATGGAGGAGGAATCTCAACTGACAAGCCTGGACCTGGCCTGCCCCAAGGTCTAGAGATTTGGGGGGGCAGGGGTCATGCCAGGAAGGGAGCCTGTTGACCTCTCTTCTTCTGCGCCCTCCTCCCTCTTTCCACCTTCGCTTGTCTGCCTTCTTACACTTGTCTTCTGTTCACTAATTCCATCACTGCTCCTCTTTACAGGGGCCTAGGATCTGTTCAGGGGACTGGGACTGTGATAGTAGCATCAAAATTAGCTGATAAAAGATGGATGGATCCAAATAAGTAAGCCTCTTGGGGCTCCTCACTGAAGTCGGACCCAGCCTGGGCTGGCAGCCAGGAAGCTGTGGACTGGTCCACAGGCAGTGAAAAGAGGTGGCTTGTGCTCTTGGTTTGGAAAATGTCATCAGGCAAAGGGCTCCCTCCCTGGGGTGAGGATTGGGTCTGATGACAGTGGTTTCCCTCCCTCTTTGCAGCCTGCAGACATGAAATTCCACACCTGGGGTCTGTTATTTGGTGTACTTTCCCTGACTTCCTGTTTCCTAATGTGCAGATTGCAAATTTTGCCACTCCTTCTGTGTGTGTGTGTGTGTGTGTGTGTGTGTGAGAGAGAGAGAGAGAGAGAGAGAGAAGTGGGGGAAGGGAGAGGGAGTGGGAATCTTAAGCAGGCTCCATGGCCAGCACTGAGCCTGCCTGACTTGGGGCTTGATCTCACAGCCCTGAGATCATGACCTGATCTGAAATAAAGAGTCTGACCCTCAACCTACTGAGCCACACAGGCACCTCACAAGTTTTGCAGCTCTTTAGGAACTATCCTGAGGGCCATTTTTTTCTCAACAAATTTTTGATCGCTTTCCAGGATTCTGAAGGATTGTCTCTGACCCTTGGTCATCGCGTTTATCACAACATTGGGGAAGGGAGACAACAGAGTTGAGATGGTGTGCCCGAGTGCATGCAGTTGAAAGCCTGTAGAGGGACTTGGTTTGGTTTACATGGTATTTTTATTTTTAATCTGTTTATTTCACTTTAGAAAAAAAAAAAAAAAAAGATTTCTAGCCTAATTTGAAAAAGTAAGCGATCTCTCAACATGGCGCTCATATTTCTACAACAATCAGCTATGGCTGGGTGATGCTTTCCCCCTCATTTGCTGGGACATTCTTGCCACAGTCCTCACCACTCCCCATTGCTCACCCCTGTCCATGCATGTGTTTATGTGCATCTTTGACCCCTGCAATAGAGAATCTATCGAATTGTGATTGGGACTTCTGAGTCTCCAGGGTATTACGTGTACAGACCTGTATGCTGCTGTTGCTCTGTTGCTTCCTATCCTAGCTCTAATGGAGGCTGCTCATATCTTGCATAAAAACTTAGTCTGGGGGTGCCTGGGTGGCACAGTCAGTTAAACATTTGAATCTTGGTTTTGGCTTGGGTTGTGATTCAGGGTCATGAGATCAAGCCTCCGTGGGGCTTCAGGATCTTGAGATTGAGCCACACGTTGGGCTCTGCGTGGAGTCTGCTTAAGTTTCTTTGTACCCCTCCCCACCCCGTGAGTGCATGCTCGCTTGCTCTCACTCAAATAAATAAATCTTTTTTTTTTTTTTTTTTTTAAAAAGGTGCCTTACTTCTAAAGAGGGGCAGGAAGGAATGTATGACATCAGAGATTGCAGGAATTTGTTTCTTCTTTGAACTTACCAGTCTGAAGAATTAATGAAAGCTTAAGTTTGGGGGTAGGGATGAGGATGGAAACTGATAAATGCTGCAGTTCCTACAAAAAGTAATCTACATGTATGTATTTGGCAGGTGAAAGGAAAGCAAGCCAGGATGGATATTTACGACACTCAGACCTTGGGGGTTGTGGTCTTCGGAGGATTCATGGTTGTTTCCGCCATTGGCATCTTCCTCGTGTCAACCTTCTCCATGAAGGAGACGTCCTATGAAGAAGCTCTGGCCAACCAGCGCAAGGAGATGGCGAAAACTCACCACCAGAAAGTGGAGAAGAAAAAGAAGGAGAAAACAGTGGAGAAGAAAGGAAAGACCAAGAAAAAGGAAGATAAACCTAACGGGAAGATACCTGACCATGATCCAGTCCCCAACATGACCATCCTTCTCAAAGACCCAATGCGGGCACCTGCAGTGGCCGTGGCTCCAACCCCAGTCCAGTCCCCCGTGGTCATTGCCCCCATAGCCACGGTACCAGCCATGCCCCAAGTGAAGCTCGCCTCCTCCCCTAAGGACAAAAAGAAAAAGGAGAAAAAAGTGGCAAAGGTGGAACCAGCAGTCAGTTCTGTAGTGAATTCCATCCAAGTTCTTGCCTCCAAGGCTGCCATCTTAGAAACTGCTCCCAAGGAGGTGCCTATGGTGGTTGTGCCCCCAGTGGGTGCCAAGGCCAGTATCCCCGCCACTGGCACTGCACAGGGCAAAAAGGGAGAGGGAGCCCAGAACCAGAGCAAAAAGGCAGAAGGAACCCCCAACCAGGGCAAAAAGGCAGAGGGGGCTCCTAACCAAGGCAAAAAAGCAGAGGGGGCTCCCAACCAAGGCAAAAAGGCAGAGGGAGCCCAGAATCAGGGCAAAAAGGCAGAGGGAGCCCAGAATCAGGGCAAAAAGGTAGAAGTGGCCCCAAACCAGGGCAAAAAAGCAGAGGGGGCCCAGAATCAAGGCAAAAAGGCAGAAGGAACTCCAAACCAGGGCAAAAAGGCAGAAGCGGCCCCCAACCAAGGCAAAAAGACAGACGGGGCCCCCAACCAGGGCAAAAAGGCAGAGGGAGCTCTCAACCAGGGCAAAAAAGTTGAGGGGGCCCAGAATCAGGGCAAAAAGACAGAAGGGGCACAGAATCAGGGCAAAAAGTCAGAGGGGGCCTCCAACCAGGGCAAAAAGGCAGAGGGGAGCCCCAATCAGGGCAAAAAGGTGGAAGTGGTTCAGAACCAGAGCAAAAAGGTAGAGGGAACCCCC